TTATCAATGAAAATATTTCCAAACATGTTTGACATCAAGTCCTACGCTTAAGACAAAACTTAATTTTTTTTTTCATTCATTTGATATTAGATCCTGGAGCAAAAGATTTTTTCACACATTTGACATAATGTCATGGAACAAAATATTCTATATACATTTAACATGAAGTTGCAAACATACGATAAAAATATAATTTTTCCATACACTTAGACATTAAATCATAAAGAAAAAAATATTTTCATGCATTTAACATGAAATCATGAACATATCCAAAATGCAATTTTTATGCAATACTTAAAAAAGAAAACATCACGCGTCATGCTTAATATGTAATATGCATATGAAAATGCAAGTATGCACATGCCAAAATAAATCTAAATTCGCTTAATCGACAAATCAAAATTTCTCTAAATGATCTCTCATGGATCCTAAGCTCTAAGATGAAGAGAGGTACCAACACATGATTAACACGTCGATAATAAAATTACTTGTGCTAACCAGATGCCTAATGATTGACTGTAGTTTGAAGATGGCTGATTTTATAGTGGTGCGTACATTTTACATTATTCAAACCTTCTTGAGAATCCCCTATTGTTCTTTTGTAGTGTCGACTTATAATATCCTTGCCATTGCACTCAATCTGTTAAGGCTTTCCCCCCTAAGTTTCTTCTGCATTCTTCTAAATGCAGTTCTTGGAGGCATCTTCAATCTCATATTTTTTTATGCATCTTGAGTATAGCAACGTGATGACCTTCAAAAAAGTTTTCCCTAGATCATAAGATATTGTGTTGCTTTAATCTTGAAGCATTTCGAATTGATTGCTTCTTGAAAGACCTTCCCAATCTCAAAGAAAATGATGTATAGATCCATTCAACTTTTTAATCCTTTGGCTCACAGTTTCATCACCCTAGCTTCCTCTATAGATGATCAAACGAGCCTTTGGGACATTCCCTCCCCCAAGCAAGCGCACTTGGAAAGGAGGTTCGCTACTTAGTTGTGCACTCGGGAAATGTATTCAATATTAAAACTTTTAAATTTCCTTATCTTCATTTTTGCATTGTCAAGATATTTGGTCTTAATCTCATCTCTAACTTCAAATCAATGGTTAACTTGATTGACCACCAACAGTGAGTCATATTTTACCAGGAAGTGTCACGCACCTATCATGTAAGCAAACTATAATCCAACAATCAGAGTTTCATAATCTACTTGATTGATGACGACTTCAAATCTCACTTATATTGAATGGTATAAATGATCTTCGGCTGAATTTTCTTAGAGTGAGACTGAGGCTCGCTATGATTTGACTAGATGCTTTATCGATATGCAAAACCCGGGTATGATTGTTGGTCGTTATTTCTTTGTCTAGTTCACTTAGATCTAAAAATTCAGCCAAGAAGTGAATTATAGTTTGAGCCATCATGAGGGTTTTGGATACATAGGAGAGATGAAACTCACTGAGTTTTCATGCCCATTTGAGAAGCAAACTCGAGTGTTCCAGCTTGGTGATAATTGATTTGAGCGGTTAGTCGGTGATGATCCTGATCGAATGCATTTGTAAGTGGGTGGAGCCTGCAAGAAAAAATAATGATAGAGAATGTTATTTTTTCCGTCATGGATACCCAAGCTTGGCTCATTAGAAGACTTGGCTAACATACTAGACCAGAATCTGCTTCCTTTACTCCTTTCAAACAAAAACATAGTTGATGGCCTTGGGTCCGACTCCCAGGTATAGAGAGAGTTTTCATTTGATTTTAGGCTTTGGATGAGCGTTGATGATGCTGTGGAGTCTTTCGATTTTCTAAATGCTTGTTCAAATTCATCCAACCAACAAATTTATTTGCAGCCCTTAATGTTTTAAAGAAAGCAGTGCACTTGTTACCCAATTTTAAGATGAATCGGCTCGTGCTCGCAATCCGGTCAATCAACTTTGGGACTAATTTGGTATTTTGGTGAGACAACATGTTGAACAGGACTTGAACCTTTCTAGGGTAGCCTTTATTCCCTTTGGTTTTAGGAGATAACCTAAGAATTTGTCTGTGGATGTTGCAAATATACACTTGTGATGATTGACTTTCATATTAAATTTTCTTGAGGTTTCCATGATCTCCTTAAAGTCTTTCATGTGTTGCTCGGGTGTTTTACTTTTCACTAAGATATCATTTGCATACACTTCAACATTTTTTTTCATTTATGTTTTAGCAAAAAGTACATTTATTTATTCGCTGGTAAATAGCACCAATAATTTTATTCCAATGAGCTTTATAATATAGCATTACACTCCTTCACTTATGATGAATGCAGTATTTTCAGTGTTGGCCGGATCCATCTTGATCAGATGATAGCCAAACAAGGAGTCGAGGAAGCTCATCATGAGATGGATGACTGTTGCGTCCACGAGCGCGTCGATTTGTGGTGAGGGGCAGCTGTCATTCGTGCAAACGATATTTAGATTAGTAAATTCAATGCACATCCTCCACATGTCAATCAATTTTTGCACCATAACAACGTTTGACATCCATGGCGGTTGCTTAACCTCTCAGAAGTAGTCGACTTCAAACAACTTTTGGACCTATTCTTAGATTGGCTTGACCAAAGAAACATCGACGTCCTCATCTTCTACTTCATTTGTTGGACCATTGCGTTAACATTCAGGTGGTGGCTGGTGAAGTCAATTGGTAGCTATGCATCTTGGCGGCAGACCCGACAAGAACATCTTTGTGGCTCCAGAGGGTGTCGATCAGTCAATCTTTAAGACCTGCATTAAAAGCTTCACTTCGCAAAAAAATTTATCTTTATTGCCTTTAGATGCAGGGATCTGATGGGTGATTTTGCTATTCTTGAGACGCCCTTCTTGTAGGTTATCAAACTCGAGGGGCTCTTCATGGACACTTCTGAGCGTCTAGAGATAATAGATGCAAGACTGCTCGAGATCACCAGAAATAGTGATTGCCTCACTGTCGCCCAAGAACTTCACATGCACGTGGTAAGTAGAGGTGTGCGACCCTGAAAGAATTGAGCAGGGTGACTGAAGATAGTCTTCTATGTGAATACACCCAAGGAATAAAATATATGAAAGGAGACAAGACAAAGAAATAGAGGAAACAATAATGAAAACTAATCAACTGTCTTATTTTTTAAATATTTTCACTATTTATAGAGAAGAGAATGTTGATATTATTTTTTTGCCCTTGTCTAGAATGAGTCAGTACTATGCTATCTTTTTTGTATTTTACATGTATAAGCTTATCCTCTTACCTCTTTGTAGCTCTATAATCTAATCTTAGTTTACTTCGGGTCAGCGGCATTAGCTCAGTCGATTGAGCTTGGTCGGCATGGGTCGATCAGTTGATCTACTTTGATTGTTAATCCTTCATTCCTAATGAGAAGCCTTTAATATCTCCGGCCCATTAATTAAAAACTAATAAATATGTCTATTATAAAAGTCAAATTATATATTTCACACCTCAACGTTTAACATAAAGCCAAGGCCGAGTAACCTGCAAATTTTAAATGCTCGGAAGAAATGCTGTTCACCTTTGACTTCAATAGAGTACGACTCAATGTGATGAACGAGCCTTTAATAGTACCCAGAACTAATTAAAGAAAAAAAAAACAGTACTAATTTTTTGAGAAATTTACATACATGATATATAGTTCTTATGCATTTACATATTAAATATTTAGAGTTTGATATTAATAGTTAAAAAATGGTGTCATAAACCTATAGGTGAAAAATATAATTTATTTTTAAAAAATTAGTGATAAAAACTTTTTTATTTGATATTAAAGAGCTGTGTTATGTGTAAAATATAAAAATTGTCTGGTATATATGTAAAATAAGAAATATGGGTGTTAATCCTCCATCAAATGGGAAAACATTTGTGTACGTAAGATGTACACAGTGTTGTGTACATAATGGAGGTTATATGGGCGTTATAACGGCTATATTCACGTTATATCCCCTGTAACCTCCGTATAACTTTCATTTAACCTGCATGTAACATACATATATGTGAAAACAGAAGCGCGAAACTTATTTGTAAGTTCAGGTAGGTTACGGATATGTTATATAGATGTTACATGGAGGTTACAAAGGATATAACGCGAATATAATGCCGATATAACACTCATATAACCTTCGTTATGTACGCAGCGCTGTGTACGTCTTACGTAAGCAAATTGTTTCCCATAAAAGAAGAAATCCTTCATTAAAAACATAGCAACAACTGAAGCTCCGCTTGGTGAAAAAATTTTAAATCGATAATTTATAAGGTACAGATTATATCTAACAAATCATCGATAAACATAACTGTAATAGTAATTTACATTAATCAATAATTTGTTAGATGCATATTTCAGACCTAATAAATACCCAGCTAATAACTTCCTTGACTGGTTTTTTTATTGTTGCTTGTGCTTGTAACTAAAGAATAGAAAAATAATTCTTGTCAAAATTCAATTATTTTAAGAAAAAAGATGAAATGCAGACATTATAAATAGTTTAAAAAAATTTTAAGAAAAAAAGTAATTTAATGAATTAAAAAACATAATCCGTTTAGTATATAAATTAGGAAAAAAGGTAGTATTTTTTATTGTGATATGAAAAAATTGGGTGGTATAAATATGCAAATACAGAGAAATATTTGCATACTTTAGCAGAGCTGCGTACGTCGGTAGGTTACAGGGAGGGTATTAGAGGGTTATATCCGCGTTATACCTCATGTAACCTCTCTGTAACCTACCTGTAACTTATAAATATATGAAAACAGAAACGCGGAACTTACTAATTACAGGTAGGTTACAGAAAGGTTACAGGAAGGTTACAGGGGGTATAACGCGAATATAACGTCTCAATACCCTCTCTGTAACCTACCGACATACGCAACTCTGCATACGTTAGACATACTCAAATATTTCTAAGAAGTGGGTGGTATCTATGTAAGGAATAAAACATTTGTCAATAGTAGCGGTAGATAAGATGCCCCAACTGCCATGAAAGGGATGTTCCAGGAGAAATCAATAAGCCATCACAATGGCTTGAACTCCCAGTGCAACAGCAGAGAACCCTTCTTCCATGGCCAAAACTATGGAGGAATTCAGCTTTCCTGAAGTATCAGTGGAGCAGGACTCGCACGAGCAGTTATCCTTCCCTCACTTCGCCTCTTCCCCTATTTGGTTCCAGTCCTCTACTTCCTACCACAAGTTCACCGCCCTCAACCACCATGATCAGCGAAGGAGAAGCTTCCCATCAATGGAAGATCTCCGGATCGAGGAGGTTAAGGATGAGGAGAGGATGGACATGCTGTGGGAGGACTTTAATGAGGAGCTCCATCAAATTCCTCGTCTTACAAGAAATGGAGGGAGGGAGGGGTTGGATTGGTCAGGAAACTCAACTAAATTGGATGGGAAGAGGCATGGTGCAGGGAACTTCCTCTGTTTGAAAGCAGTTCGACGCTGCAGACCTGGCCTGATGATAATGTTGAAGGTGTTGAAGACACTACTAATGATTCAGAAGATCAGAAAGACGAGAAGAATGCCGGATTATCACATATAATCAGCCTTATATATGATATTTAATGGTGTATAGATGGATGGATTCAGAAGGGAACAAAACTTACGGAATGTATTAGTTCAGGAGAATATGGTTATTTCTCTAGCATGGCAAAAATACCGTTGTCTCCATGTTTTTTATTTGTGTTGGGCATGATTTTGATCTTTGTACATCTTTTTAGCTATTTATAAGGAATGTGTGTGACTTGGATCTAAATCTAAAATATTATGACGAGGTGCTCAGGCAGAGATTACAAAACAAAGGAGAGCTCATCATTGGATCGATAGTTAAGCAGTTTCATAATCCCAAAAAAAGAGAATATCTAGTACCAATAAAGAATGGACAGGAAACTCAGCTGGCCTTTCTGTCAGAGTAAGGCCACCAGCTGAAACAAGAACAGGCATGCCAAATGGGAAATAAAGGTTGGAAAAAACAACCTATAGAGTACTTGCTACTCGCATATCCATATTCCCACAACTTTATATTATAGTTCGTTATGATGATCTCATGTAGTGCTTCTAGAAATATAAAATATGGGCTCCAAAGTTCAAAATAATTCTGCTCTGCATGGATCATCATACTCATACTGTGTACAGAACTGAAAGAACACAACATGGAGATTTGTTGGCATATAAAATTATATTAGGAAGGTTCTCCAAATTCTGAGATGTCCCCTATAACATTGTATATAATCCCTTATTATAAATAAATTGTATACAATCCCTTATTATAAATAAGGGATAGTGCCCAAAACATTCTTCTAGCATGGCATCAAGAGCAAGAGAATCCCTACGACACTTCTCCCATCGACACCCCTTTAGGGCTCCTAGAAAGTTTTTAAAAAGTGGTTTTAGTAGGGGAATGGTTGTGGGATAGCAGGGAAGGAGAATATGATATTTGGCGTGGGATAGGAGTCGTTTGGTGGCTATCACAATGAAAAACAACGACATTCGGACAGAGAGGAGGTTCACCACCTATTCCTGCACAAACAACAAATACACTATATGCAAAAGGAAGAGGATACAACACTCCTTAGAGTAGAAAATAGATACTACAATATGTAAAACATATTAAATAAAAGCTAGGTTCCCCAAACAACAACATACACATATAAGTAGTATCCTAATAGAAGATAAATCTAATTATAAATAAAAAATAAGAAAGAAACCAAAAAAGGTAATCAATGTTGTTGAATTCGATAACTCGGGCAAGCCTGTAGCTATTCAGCACCACTTGATCACGGGATTTTATGACCCAAGATCACGAAAATCTGATGAGGGGAGCTCTTGTGTCTTTCTCCCTAGCTAGGAGAGGCTTCTTTTTCTCTATAAACACCTGAATCTCACTGTCATAAGTTATTTCCTATAAAACACTTACGAAGATTTTCAAAGTAGCAGTTCACCACTCATATATGGCCGCCTGTTTGGGAATGCACTACTAAACTAAACGAGAGCTTAGTACCCAGCTTATTGCATAGAGACTTCTACAATTAGTTCAAAAATTTCTCATCTCCATCTAAAGTAATGACATGTTGGACTTCCCTTTGTAGGAGATAGGTTGTAAATTCAAAAATCTTGAAATCCTCTTTAGATGGGGCTGCCCAGTGCCTGATATTGACTCCTCGAGCTCATCGCATTCTTGGAACACCAATGCTAATCCTGTCGGTGCTTCTCTCAAGGTCAGCAAAAAAAGATCGCTCGTGACGCCACATCCTCAAACTTAGTATTAACGTATGTTATCTCGGACTCTTTCAAAGATAAAAGTACAATGTGTTTCTCATCTTTGGTAAAAGAATATGTATTTTTATAGCCGTCATGAGATGTGCAATGGTCATGCTGCCAAGGATGACCTAATAGGATGTGACAAGCATGCATACGTACCATGTCATGCCATACTTGTTCCTGGAATTTAGTTTCAATGAAAAATTCCACAAGACATGTCCTGTTAGCCATGATTTTATTTTCTTTTTTTAAAAAGACAAAGAATAATGTTGGATGCATTTTGCATGGCCAAATTCAACCTGTTGATCACTTGTGTAAATACTGCATTTTCACAAGTACATCAATAATGAAGTTGAACATCTTTCCCTTCACAATGTAACGTGTAAAAAATATATTGTGGCAAAACCACTAATGCTTTATAGCGGGCTTATTCTGATGGATCTGTCGTATTACTAGAGTCTCTCCTCCGTCAGTTGAAAATTAGCACTCCTCTATATCATCACCTTCTCTAGTGCCTCCAATGTCAATTGTCTATGTTTTCTAATGCTCTTTGCTCAGTGAAAGACATCACGCTCTTGTTTGGGCAATCGGTCACAATATGCCGAAAAGCATGGCACATAAAACACTTCCTCACTGGAATGAATTTGGGAGTACTTATGATTTTCACATTTTCTCCACTCTGGATCGATTTCTCACTGGGAGAGATCAGTTTGGGTGCTTCAATGGGTGTACTTGTGTTGCCTGATTTGATGGTTTAACCATGTATGAAGAAGGGTGATGTGAACCTAATATTGTTGTGTTGTCCCTTCACCTTTAGGGCAAAGGATGAATATCCCTGTAATGTCCAATAAAACTATAACTGTAGCGTGTTGTCAATGGACAGTCTCAACCCACCCAGATATCGAGCTATGGTGTTCTTATCGAGCTTCACTATTTCACACTATAACATAAATTGAACGAACCCAACTGTGTACTCCTCTACTGAGATCTATCTAATATAACTAGTGAAGTCTCAAATACACATCATATCTTTAATGTTTTGGTGGGTGATTGCACTACATCTCTCTATTCATGTTGAATCATATAATGATTTTGTTTTTCCCACACGCTGGCGTAGGTGCTTTAAATTTTCCCACAATAGTGACTCATTCTTCTTTAATTTAATGGCGGCTAGATTTATCCTTCTGTCTAGAGCCACTCAATAAACTCATTCTAATCCATGCGATCATCAAAATCCGATAAATTCAACTTTACTCCAAAATCCTAATTTTTTCTCTAATATTCAATGCCTAATTGATGTGGTATCGACTTTGTCAATTGAAACTTCTTGGTGCAAGCGACTCACTCTATCCTCTCAATCTGGTGAGTGGCTATTATTATTATGAGAGATATCACTAGGTTATCTCTTCTCAAAGAAAGCAAGTCTTTGTTGTTGCTGGAAGATTTCTCGTTGCATATCCTCCATAGTGATCTCCTGAAAATTTCATTGAGCGTTTCCCTTTGGCAGCATTATCTCTTTCTCAAATTTAAATTTCGGCATGAAGAGAACATTGTGGTTAATGATTAGGATTAAGTGGATAACATCGGTTTTTCTTTTTTTCTTTTTTTGCAAGGGTGTAAGGTCAGGATGTGTATGAATTTTTGGTTTGGGTTTAGGGTTTGTCGAGCTCTCAAAACAAGTGAAACCATTTTAGTGCTCCTAGGTGTTCACGAAGCAATTTTACTGGGGAGATGATTGTGGGATAGCAAGGGAAGGGAGGAATATAGGAGGTCTATGGCATTTGGACGGGGATAGGAGTCGTTTGGTTGTTGTCCCGACTGAAAATAGTGAAAAGAACCACGAAATTACAGCATTTGGATGGAGGAGGTTCACCACATGAACCATGAAACGGCAACGTTCAAACAATGATGAGTTTCAACGCATATTCCTGCACAAGTTACAGACAGACCTCTTCCAAAAAAAATGAGGACACAATGTTGCTTAAGGTAGAAAATAGAGAATACAGAAAAAACAAAACAAATTTTGCTGAAATTGATAACCAGGGAGGGCCTGTAGCTATTCGGTACTGCATGATCGTGGGATTCTGCAATCCTGAATTGTGGAAATAAACATACTGAAGATTTTTGTCATTCAATCGAGATCTTGTGCTTTCAAAGAAGGTTGTCACTCCTTATATCTCCAATCACGTTCCTGAGACTTCTGTCAACGCTTATTCGTTAACAACTCACATCTTAACGAAGCAAACTTGAATTAACAGTTATACATGTTTCAACTTGGAAAGAGTCATGGCCTATAAAAATGCATTTGGAAAGTTCTTTACGTAGAAAGTTAATATCTATTGAATAATGCACACAAAATCTTCCCATCTTACAAGAAAAAATAGAAAAATTCTTAGTAAGTACAAAATGTAAATATTAAATAATACACGCAAAATCTTTCGCTCTAAGAAGAAGCATACGGGTTCACAAAGTAAATGGATACAGAGATGAACATACAGAGGATGCATAAATTTTGCTTACATAATCAGGACGCAATAATAACTCAAGCACGTTATTATGAGCTGATAATCAACACACTTTCATGCATAACTCTCAATAAAGTGCCAAAGAAGCGGTTTAAAGGCCACTAAAAGATGTCTCCAGTATAAAGAATATTCTTTACAAAAAAAAGAGGGTGGGGGGTGGGGTGGGGTTTGGTGGTTTGTGGTACCTAAGACTTAATTTATTGATATAAAACGATAATGGTTCTTTTTGTATACATATGACAGCCTGAATAATTTCTAATGAATATTCTCTCCTAAAATAGATAAAATTTGCACAATTCCTTCTCGTTTGTTACATAAAGAATTCTCCTAATATTCATTGAATGTTCAATAGAAGCTATCAAAATATTAGCAGAGGTATTTAAAGTAAGCCCAACATTATTGTGCTCCAAGCATTTGTTGCTCACCGAGCGTGATGATAGCAATATCCTTATTTAATGGAACTTCTTTTATTTGATTTCTTACTAGTCTTCAAAAGGTCGGATAAAGAAGCACAGTGTGTTGAGTTATAGCTGCAATTCTGACAACACGCCTCCAACTTTTCAATGACTTTCAAGCACCTGGATAAAAAATTCAATAAAAATTTTTGATTAACTTGAAATCAGACAACATTTCACATTCAATTTCCATAAATACCTTACGATGTAATAAGGCTTTTTCATAATTCTATAAAGAGAAATTATCGTCAATAATAAAGGGCCCACGTAGTGAGATTAAGGCTTTGTTGTTGTTGTTGTAAACAGAAGGGATAGAGTCCAAAACACGAGCAATTGTAAAAACTCTCGTGTAGGGCAATTGCTAACTTGTTTTTCCTAGAAAAAATAGTAGTATTTCATTCACTAAGCTCTGGAAGTACACGTCATCTTATTTTTAATAATCTTTGCTACATTTTGTATTGAAAATATTCATGCCAGAGAACACTTAATGAGGTAGTGCAATTAGGGGAGACGAAAATTGATTATTCCCGCGCCCATTTCTACCTCTTCCTTAGCTTGTTCTCGGCCCAACACGGAACTTGTGCCCTAACAAGTCAAAATCTTCACAAAACATTAGTATTTTTTGAGATTTTTCTATAAAATCAAAGGTAAATAATGTGGAGTGTCGGTTCTACGGAATCGCCGAATCCCGTGTTTTTGCAGGGTCATGAAAAGCCGCGATCGTAGCAGAGTATCAACCGCTGATTTTGCTTTTTTTCTTTTCTTTCTCTCCTCTTCTAATTTCTTTCTTCTTTCATTATTTATATTAGGATATTTTCTATTAGGAGACTATCTATATATTTAATTTTTTTTTGTTTTTGTGAGACTTTTGTTTTGATTCGAGTAACTTGGATATTGTAATCTCTGTTTCTACTCTAAGGAGTGTTGTATCATTTTTCTTTTTGCAAGTGGTGTATTTGTATGCAAAACCAGGTGGTGAACCTCCCTGACCTCCGTACCACGCTATTTCATCTTCCGCCTCACTGTTTTTCACCCGAGACAGCGGCCAATCAATGCCTAGTCTACTGTCCAACAACAGATTTCGTCTCATACCCTTCCAAATGCCATTGACCTCCCATATTCTCCTTCCCTTGCAATCCCACAACCATCTTCCCACTAAAACCGCTTCCTAAATACCTTCTAAGAGCTCTAGAACATTAGATCTAGTATCAAAGCCCGACAAACGCTAAATTTTTATGGGTTTAACCTTCCTACACGTAAACCAAGAATTCATACAACATAACCTAACACCCACACCAAAAAAAAATTCCCCACATCATCAACCAAGCCCTAGCCCTAACCAAAACCCTAAACCTAACTATGTCCCTAACTCTAAACCTAAACCATATTTTTCTTTTTCATCAAAACTTACATTAAAAGATCAAGACGACATGCGACCAAGAAGTAATTAACAAAAGAGGTATTCAGGAGCTCACTATGGAAGACATATAAAGAGAAATCATCCAACTGTAACTAAGATTGTCGCCTTTTAGTGGAAATAACCCGATGAGGTTACCCATAATCACAATGGTGACTTGTTAGATCGAAAGAAGGAAAATCTTTTTCACCTAGAAGTTTAAGTGACGAACAATCAATGTCATGTCAATTTGGCATTGAATGTTAAAGCAAAAGCCCAGATGTTGAAGTGAAGATTGACTTATCGAAGTTTGACACTTGAATGAATCCAGATTAGTTCCTCCGGTGGCTCCAAACAGGGAAATGTGTACTTTGATTTATCAAATTTGAAGAACTTTTAATGTTAATGTTTTTCGAACAGGTACATGCCATATTTGTTCAAAAGTTTCTTTTTATATGTATATACATAATTATAAAATATTAGCAAAGCATCAAATTTAATGTATGTATATTGCAAGTGTAAAAATGGGAATGTATTAGAAGCATTTATTATTCTTTTTTCCTTCTATATGCAGGTATCTAACAGAATTTTGACAGCATTTTCATCGCTAGTTCAATATAGAAATAATCGTGACTGAATATTCTATAAGAGGAACTTTTTACGAAAATTTTCCAGCGAAAAAATTTTTGCTGAAATGTCTACAAGAAATTCCGCTAGAATCTTTGTAGGAAAAATTCCGTGCAGGTAGATTACTTCTGGTAACATTTCTCACATTTTTATTCATTGAAATTTTCTGACATAAATTCCATCAAAAATCAGTCGAAAAATCTTTTCAATGGAATTATTTTTCATCTGAATGCATTTCCAACCAAGAATTTTACGACGGAGTAAATTTGATCAAAAATTCATCAATAACTCACTTTTTCAATGGAAATTTAATATTTTCCGAAAGAATTTCACATCTTAAATACCACATTTTCGCGTGCAATGCTTTCAGATATCCTTTGGAATAGAAATTACACACAAATACATGATAAAATAATGATAAGATGGAGATGAGTCATTAATGTGTGAAGATAATGATAATTAATTTGTCTTTTAGCGTGATATAGTGCAACACTGTCATTGTTGGTCCCAAGCCCGAATATGAAAAGTGAAGGGTTGCATTAGGTAGTCGACAACGAGCGTAAAACTTGTCGAAAAAATCATAACACGAATTATTTTGAACAATGTGTAAGTGCTAGGGCGTCCCCTAAAAGCGATGCGTTGTATGGTCTGAATACAATGAATAGTGTGCAAATGTCGCTGCACCGCGGTACGGGTGTAGTGTCAAAAAAGCAAGGATTCTCACATTACGGACAATAAGGATAAGAAGTTAGTCCATAAAACTAATATTAGGATATGATATTGGAATATAGGTACACTTACTGGTGAATTAATGAAATTGGTTGATATTATGATTCATAGAAAGATAAATATCTTTTGTGTTCAAGAAACTAAATGGGTTGGAGAAAAGGCTAAGGAAATTGATTACTTAGGTTTTAAATTTTGGTATTCAAGTAAGAGTCGCACTAGAAATGGGTGGGTGTAATTATAGATAAGAAATTGAAAGACAATCTTGTAAAAATTAATATAGTTGGAGATAGAATTATAGCCCTTAAGATTATTGTTGATACTAAGATTTTTAATATTATAAGTGTTTATGCTCCTCAAGTAGGTTTAGATATAGGTTCTAAAGATAAATCCTGGAATGACTTAAAAAACTTAATACAAATGATACCTCTTAACGAAATATTTTTTATTAGAGCGGATTTAAATGGACATATCAGTAGAATAGTAGAAGATTTAAGAAATATTCATGGTGGTTATGGTTTTGGAGTGATTAATGAAGAAGGATCTATATTAGATTTAGCTTTAGCGTATGATTTTGTTATTGCTAATATTTTTTTCAAGAAAAGAGATAAACATATTATTACTTATAAGAATTAATTTAATAATACACAAATTGATTATTTTCATATGAGAAAAAGAAATTGTCGAGAATGTCATAATTGTAAGTTCAATCTAAGTGAGGATTTGAATACTCAACATCGATTATTAGTTCTAGATTTTAAGATGAAGAGTTGTAAAATAAAAAATACTAGGAATCATCGTCATTGAATTAGATGGGAGTACTTAAAAGACAAATAAAATTATTTTTATGAGTAAAATTCAATATTTCAAAATTTGAAATGTTCATGAAGAAGCAAATTATATATGGGATAAAGTAGAAAAAACTATTAAACAAATGGCAAAAGTTGTATTTGGAGAATCAAAAGAAAAAGTTTTTATAAATAAAAATAGTTGGTAATGAAATAATAAAGTACAAGAAAAGATAAAACATAATAAGTGATGCTATAAAATTGGTTTAAATGTAAAAGCATAGAAATCTTGGAAAAATATCAAACTACCCGTAAAGAGTCTAAGAGAACAATCTGCGATGCTAAAAATTATGCTTGTAGTGGTCTTTATAATAGATTGAAAACTGAGGGTAAAATATATAAAATTTGCTTAGCTTTACATCCGTCCCAAGATATCATTTCCAATACATCCGTGGGGCAAGCTCGAACACATTGGGTACATCATATACATGTATCAAAAATCTTTACTGAATGTGACATTGGGGCTGTAAATTCCAATTTTTGACACAAAAAAATTTCAATCTGGTAAAATAAGAAAATGAAATAATCATATATTTTCTATTGTAGACACCAGATGAATCAATGATTATAAACTAGCTAAACAAAAAGAAAAGAAAAGTAAAGATTTAACTCAAGTAAAGTGTATTAAAGATGAAAATCAAAAGTGTTTTTCTTAGAAAAAGATATTCAAAATAGGCAGGTGAGTATATTTTGATAAACTTTTTAATAAAGTTTCGAAAAATACGATCAACCTTAGTTATCTTAATATCGTTAATAATAATAATATGTTTCATTTTTACCATCGCATTAGTAAAAACAAAGTTGAGGAGGCTTCAAAGAAAACCAATGGTGGAAAGTCTGTAGGAACTGATGATATCCCAATTGAAGTACGGAAATATTTAAGAGATTTAGAAGATTTTTGGCTTACTAAACTTTTTAATATTATTTTAAAAATTAAAAAGATCCTGGGGAGTGGAGAAAG